TAATAATAATTATATATATTATAAATTTAAGTTAATGGGCAATGCTGTCCACAAATTTAGTCTAATTTATATGACAATCGATTTGAATATTTTGCGTGCGGTACAAAGGTCACAGACCCACAGCTGTCATTTGTATCAAAGGTCATCTTTGTATTGGCATAGCGTACACGTGCACATCTCATGACCAATTATCTTTCAGCCAATCGAAATATATCTTCGATGGCATCAAAACATGTAACCAATCATAATTCGGTTAAGCCAGTAAAATAGACCAAATACACCTGAAAGAGATCACTTGTTTCAAAGTCCTAACAAAGTAATGTTCCAAAGCTACTGTAAGATTGAACAGAGCTAGCTTTATTCTTTTATTTATTTATTTATTTATTCTCTTGAACAGAGCTAGCTTTATTCCATCAAAATTGTTGTGCATCAAATCAGCTTCTTGCTTTGGGGTAAGCATCTTCTTTTCAAGTTGGTTGATAATTTGCTTCATGCTCTTAATTTTTGAATTCCGTCTTCTTAATTTTTGCTGTAGAGTTTTCACCTTCATAAAACAAAAGATAATCTATAGAATAACAACTTGAGACTCAAGATACATGTTATAATAAATCAACTGAATTAATTATGGCAAGAATGGGAGTTTTTTTCTAGTTTGGAATTGTGAGTAGCTTTTTTTTGCTTTTCCAACCTTTATTTTTGACTTTTTCAGCTTTTTATTTTCTTTGGGGGTTTCACTTTGATTATGATGTGGGACGTCAGGTATGGTTTCAGGTGATTCGGGTATGGTTTCAGGTGATTCGGGTATGGTTTCAGGTGATTCGGGTATGGTTTCAGGTGGTTCAGGTATGGTTGCAGGTGATTCCAGGTATGGTTGCAGGTGATTCGGGTATGGTTTCAGGTGGTTCAGGTATGGTTGGTTCCTCAGACCAATGTTTGGCATAGTTGTGGAATTCTATTGAAATTCTTTTTAACTTTCTGGGTGAAACACTGAAGTCATCAGGTGCACTTCGTTTTGGACTGCTTGATTTCCATGCTTGACTGTTGTCTCCAAAAACAGATGGTATTGCATTCTTCTTTAAGGCTAGTTTCCACTCAGGAACATTATCTGTGGATTGGAACGGACAAGAAAATTTTTCTTTGTCTTGTGAGCTCTGGGTTGGAACTAATGACTGTAACACAAAGAAAAATGCTCTGGTCCGTTCCAATCCACGGATAATTTTCCTGAGTGGAAACTAGCCTTTAGGCATGGTCGCTTTTTACATTTTTGTATTGGACGCAGGTAGTCACTTGGCAGGAAATGATTGCTGCACAGGTGACTACAAGGTCTTGCCTTCCAGTTTCCATTTTCCTTCCCAATAGAGTCTTCCCATTTATGGGTTAATGTTGCATCTTTCAGAAGGAATCTACATTGTGCATGTAAATTATTATACTGTGATTAAAATGTAGTGAGAAATGTCATGTAACAATTTCTAAAAAAATGTCATTACATTTCTTCACAGTACATTTCTGTAAATACTTTTTGAAATAGAGCATTTCAACTGTACATAGGTGGTTCAAGTCCACATGAAAGTGCAAACAAAGTAATTTGAGGAATCTGAATGTTGTCAGTGAGGAGGGTATCATATGTTTTAGAGGGTGTCATATTTCAAAAGTTAATTATAAGTTTTTCTTTTTAGGAGGCATGCAAGTTTCCCTGCCAAATAGATGATGATGAAATGTTAAATCAACAAGCTGTTGCATTATGACTAGTGATTGATCAAGATAAGGTGGCATGGCCAGATTATAAATTTGAAGGGGGATGTGGAATGTTGATGTTCTTCGTGCCACATCCAAGTACATATTTTCTAGCTAGATGGGTCTGGGTAGAATGGGAAATTTGAATTTTTACAGTCTCTGAAATACTCTTTCCCACATTCTGGGATGCGTCTGAGGGGCCATGTTGTAATGCATAATTATGGCAAAATACACTGTATGTAATTTATAACAGTCAGTTCTCTTAAAGACCATGTCAAGTCCGTTCTGCACATCAGTTCTGCTCATAACAAAGGGGGACCCACAGATATAATCATTGCCCAAATTTTGCATCTTTCAAACTTTTATGAATTGAAACGTACTAGTTTATATAAATTTACAATTGTGAACCAGAAAAGTGTCGGATATTCAGTTAGTACTGTATGTCTTATTTTACAAATATAGCAGTTCAAGATGTAAACAAAGGATTTCTTTACATTATGGACTTGACATGGTCTTTAAATAAGTTACTGTGTCTTATTTAAAGTAAGTTATTTTGTAAGGAAGCTGAGATGTCAGAAACAATAAAAACGTCCCTCCCCCTGGCTATGTAACTGTAATTTGTTAAAGAACAACTGACAAACCAGTTTGTAATTATTAAAAAAATGCGAAAGTCAATTTTGTGTGATCTTTTATTAAAGTGTAATAACAATATATAGTATACTAGACAACATAAGTAAATTTAATTACCAATATACTAGCAGTACTTCACCACTGACAAGTAAAATTGTCTAGAATTAGACAGAGTAAGTAGGACACATTTGGTTGCCAGGGCCTCTTTTAAGGATGTGTAACTGGACTTTGAAGCTCAGATAAGCTATTTCCAGCATTTTGAAAAGTTTTTCAACAAGAAATTAACCTTATAAACAGTGACACAATTACTGCAATTTCACAGTCTACCAAATGTAATGAATGGTGTGATGATGCGGTAATGCAAATGTGTGTGGTATAGTATTATCATTCACCACACTTCAAATTCTACAGTACTGTATTACATGTATTGGGGTGGAAGGGTACTTGAAATCGACACTTTCGTTCTCTCAGTGTCACTGAAGGGCAAGATAGGGTGGTGTCTTTGGAGTATCTTTACTTGGAAAAACTAAACATCGTCCTAAAATGCCATTTCATGCCTTGTTCCACGAGCAAATTATTTCAGTCATGGTTTAGGTTTCTGGCAATGTTTAAATTTCAGTCCCCAAATTCTGGCCTACTGAGTCAACAGACTCGGTTGACTCATAAGCTAGTTACAGGCCAGATGATGGTCAAATTCAGAAATATTAACAACTTAACATCATTTTCTTACTTTGATACATAATTGTGGGTTGCCCACCTACTGCAGGTAGTTCTTAGGGACCTCACTGGGG